TATCGCTGAAGTTCCTCGGAAATAATTTCTACCGGAAATTATCAAACAAGCAGATACGCAACAATATATACAGGAGCATATGTAAAATATATTCTTTAAATGTTACGTGATACAATAGCGTTCGTTGTGATAATTCATGAAATTATTATAGAATATTAGACCACATAAACAGGTGTAACTGTACAAGAACTACATAATTTGTTATGAGTGTAATAGGCTTCTCAAAGGTATAAGGAAAATAATGTATTACGCGATTTATTGACGTTTTTGTAAAAGTTCTAAAATACAGCTTTGAAAAGCGAATTTAATATAATTTACAATTGACACCAGGTGATAAAAGTTAGAAGTACAGTTGCTGCTGACTAATCTGAAGAGGTGGTTACGATATGTAAGGAAATGAACTGTGACTGAAATAAAAAAATTTGACGTACGCTAATACTAAGTAAGAGTTTTCGAAGATTAAAGTTAATGCTGTACAAATGTATTTATAGAAGCCCTAATTTTTACTTTCCAATGAAATACATCTTATTATTGGTCAAGAACTGAAGAAGCGGCATATTTGTGGGTAGTAAATAGCCTTTCGTTGTTATTCAACTCATTCAGTTATTGTGATAACATTAACAAACGCATCGAAAAGTTCAATTACGTCAAACTAAAATAAGCAACACTTATTGCAACTTCAGTTTTATGCCTTAAAACTAGAAGTTAAAATTTTAGTTAAGCCTACTTATCTAGTCAGTAGTATTGTACTACTACTACTAGTACTTGTACTAGCCAAGTATTACAAAGTACAGTTTGATAAATTGTTAGTGTCAGTTACTGAGTTAGACTGAGAAGTAAAAGAAGTTAGAACTTAAGTTAGCTACTTAGAGGCAAAAAGAGACCATCTTACTTTACTAGTTTTACTCATACTCTTAGTCTTACTTTGTCAAATTATTTGTCAAGGAGTTGAATTTGGAGCATATTGGCACAAGGTTTTCAGCACTGAATACATATTTACCTAGTATTATTGAAGTCTGTATGCTGGCTGGGAGTGAAGACGAAAATTATTAACGTTTTGGTAAGACTTTATAATCTTATTGACATTTTGAAAATGACATTGAGATTGGTTATTCACTAATGTTTCTCCTATTTCCGTAGCATTTTCAGTTACTAATCTTCTAGTTTGGATGTTTTTATAGTCTGAACAGTACAATTTTTGATGAGTGTGAGGTGTTGCCATTAATACACATGCACACGTGTGTGTGTGTGTGTATGCACCTAATTATTGGCCTGGTAGCATTTTTGTAATTGATTTTATCAGCTCAGCAATTTTGCTGACAGTATAACTATATAAGAATTTTTAGAATGCCATTTTATGTTGTTTTCAAAGTATGTATGCAACAATAAAAATATTTAAGTTTAGCACATGTACAGTGTGAAACTTGATATAATTGTTGTAAATAAATGCTATATGCATACATGTACAATAAAATTACATTATTTAACTCTCAAGTTATTGGCTTGTTTTATACTATTTGCTACCGATGAGGTCCACGTGTTGTGTCATATTGAGTAATTTTGTTTTCCCTGTTATAACACCTTTCATAAAGAACTGACCAAGGTAATTGAGTTAAACCACTCAATTTCTTTGTAAAGTATATAAGAGGGTTAATAGTAATTATTGAGAAATTGCATTATAAGATGTATTTGTGCTCAAATATTTTGCATGACTTGCTGCATGGTAGTTATGCCACTGTCCCAATCAGTAATTCTATGGCGAACTATATGATTCTGTTATCACAGTTTTAAGTTACATGTTAAAATGGAAGACCCTGACCAACAAATAATCATTTTGAATTTTTTCTAAAATGTTTTGATATTCTTTTAAAAAAGGCTACTGTTGTGAAAAAATAAAATATTTTCTATAAAAAGCAGTTATATTTCAACTCTTAAAGATGTAAGGATAATTAACCCTTTCATTCATCAAATAAGGAAAATGGCTGAAAAAAATGTGTAGTAGTTTTAAACACATGATAAACAAATTTTATTGAAAACTTGGTTTATTTTTTCTGTCAGTTTTTATGGGAGTGGGAGTGGTGGCATCCTAATTTGAGGTCATTGTGCAACAAAAATGGCATACATATGTTGAACACTTAATTTAGTAACATTGAATCATGCCAAGACAAATGTGATTGATTTACAATGTGTGTGGTAATCCTGTACACTGTACTCGGAATGTAACTCCTGTTAGGATCATCATTAACAGAGGTTACACACATGTATACAAAGTAATTTTAGTAGCAGTGAAAGACTGCAGCCAATGAGAAACATGGTTGAACTCAGAACATGTGTGGGACTCCTATTTTATAGTTATAATTTTAGTACATGTGGAATACTTGAAAACAAAAAGGGTAAAGTGGGACTTCAGACCTGACACATAGGTACTGAGTCTTTTGTTTGCATTGACTATCCTTGCAGCTTAAAACTTATTTTCCCACAGTTTTCTTGAGGAAGTGATTCTATTTGTGAAAATGCTTATAAGCTAGAACACTGTTAAGGTCTCCTCTCCACTAGTGGCGAATACTGATTATGGCTGTCATTTCTTTCAAGCAGTCCAGTGGCAACATGGCTCTTAAATTCCAACAAACAGGATTCCCTACTGCTTTGTTGATGAAATGGTCAGATGTTCTCATATAACATTGTTTGCTTATGTCACCATCATTACCAATTGTGCTCTTATTAACAAAGCATTCTTCAGAGTTGGCTTAGAGTGTTTTTTTGTTCAATGCCTTCCTTTCCTTAGATTACAAAAATCTGGTTGAATCTCAGGTGATCCCAAAGTATCATCTGCATCTGTAATTTGTTATGAAACACATCTGTATTTGACAGAAGTGCAGGAAACAAATTGCTGGCAGTGCATGCTGCCTAGTGCTGTTATACGTGCTGAAATGATCAGTGAGGCAATAAAACTGTATTCTACTTATTCATCAATATAATTAACAGGGAATAAAATCCACAATGAAAATATGAACAATTTACATGATATTTTCAGTAAACTTTAAAAGAAAATGTGTTGTGTCCAGATCTTGTATGAAGAGCTACAAACAAACCAGGGAAGTATTAGGAGAGATGGCTCTGTCATCTAGTGGCAGAAAGCTTTACTATATCCTACCATCATATGAGATTGTCTTCTACATGTACATGTATAAAGTCTAGAAGAGATTTATTGTTCCCCATATGACTTGTTTGCATGTAAGGTTTAAATCAGTTGTTTTTTCTAGGTTTCAGTGGTTCTTAAAACATTATTTCCAAAACACACTTACCTCCACTGACACTATAGCTATTTCTTTATCTCCAGGGTTTCCACTCTTTGCCCATCTAAGCATTGGAAATGCTTGCTCCAGTCTCTTATACCCCACTCAAATGCCCTTGACAAATTCTAATTTGAAAAATTCACCACCAACTTCAATGCCTCCTCTATCCAGGTACTGTATATAAGCACCTCATTCAGATAATGTAATCACTTTTTCTCAACAAAGCATTTGCCACAGGAGTGTTGTGATTATTTGCAATCTATGTTACGACTTTGAATGCGGCTGGCATTACTATGGTTATATCTTCGTTTATATTTATAAATTACTTTAACAAAAACAACAACAAATAACGAACCAGCAGGTATAAATTCCTGTATTAATGTTTCTACTACAGAGACTACAGTCTCTGCTATCTGGTGTTTGTCAATGACCAGTGGAGGGGTCACTCTCAGTCAAAGCTGTCCATGATATGATCTGTTGTGAGATGGAGACATATATGCAGACCGATGATGTCTCTCTGGAGGGTTCTGTAAGCAGCTTTCATGAATGATCTGGGACCAGCTGGAGAGGATTTAGACTTGTTTTTCCAGCTCCTTCTTTTACTAGGTTGGCCTCAACAGAAGCTCATCTTGATCAGCACTTCCAACCCTCTTTTCTTCAGTTGGTTACTCAGATTTGTAAGGTTTTGGGGGTCTCTACTATTGCATTTGACTCTACTCCTTCCTTGTTGGCAGAAAGGATGGCCAGTAACTACTTGGTTTTCCTCCTCCACCTAATATTGCTGTTCATGCTGGGAGGATTTGCCACTCAGTTACATGATGGGACAGCTATGCCTTGTCCCCCATAATTACTGGAACAGCATGCATTGGCTTATCATCGCTAGGAGATGGTATATTTAGATTCTCAATGGATGGACCCTCTTTTGACCTGTGGGGGGCTAGTTTGGAACCTGTGATCACTTTAAACACATTACAGTTTTCTCGGATTTGTCATATTCTCAAAACTGTTCTGTATGTGGCTCATACTTACTCATATGAAGGTAGTAAGAATTGATTGTTCATTCATTGGAATTCTTCAATTTCCCATGATTTATCTCCAATTTACCTTAACGAGGTGGTTTCATAAATTGATTCACATGGCCTCTAATGGATTATCGTTACAGGAGAAGAATCTTTAGCATGTCACATCTCACCAGATTCATCATATCTGTATGTCATTAGCTGCCCAGTTGAATTGCCCTCTGGAGGACATTGTGCGGGCTGGTATGTGGACTACTACTAATACTTTCCTATCTCATTACTTACATGATCTGGCAGTTTCCTCTTCTGAGGGATTTTGACTACCCCCTGTAGGTATTTTGACCACATCTGTTAGATTTTATCCAGAGGTGACTATTTTCCTCAATCATCTGCTCTTTTATTTCCAGGGTCTCTCTATTTTCCCTGGATCCCACTCTGTAGCAAGTGTTGCCCTGGCAGTTATGCTTTCCATACTAGCAACCACTTTCACTATAATTACTATAGGTTGCAACAGGCTCTATTGAAATCAGGTGCTCCATAAGACCATATAGGTACCTACCAGATGGTATTACCTATTATTATGGACCGCCACTCCTGAACTGTCATAAGTAAAGCTAAAGGGGATCCTGCTCGTCCCTGCCGATCTTCAAATTTAATAAATCTGGGTTGATTTCTATTTAAAAATGTAGGGAACTTGGTTCACCTATTGCACAGTTTCCAGAGCACTATTCCTCAGGACTGCCCAATGTGTATTACCCCCCCTCCCCCAGACTTTACTAGTGGAGCTCGGGAGTCTTTACCACCCCCAGTTTCCAGTTGTTGGGGTGGCAGACAGATGCTTTTCCTCCTGAGTGTTTGTGTTACTCCATTCTCAGAGAAGAGGGTAAAGTTGGAAACTCTCCTGCTCGGGTTCCTGGATGTTTTTCCCAGATGTCAGTAGGAGTGGCACCAACCTTTGCTGGAGTCTGCTTGTAATCCTGGTTCAGATTTGGCACAAAGTTATTTCATTGGGAGGGGGGGGGGATGCATGGCCCTTCTCTTTGATTAATGTCAGTTCAGATTTGGCACAAAGTTATTTCATTGGGAGGGGGGGGGGATGCATGGCCCTTCTCTTTGATTAATGTCAGTTCAGATTTGGCACAAAGTTATTTCAT